GGGTGAATGCAGGTGGGAGGCAGCTAGGAAAATCTCCACAGCTGAGACCAGATTCATTTGTATTTATTTATTTATTTCTGCTTGAGTAGGGGGAGGAAAGGCAAACATAAATTGCAGAGTAATTTATTGACCCAATGAAAATGTCATGGAAACATTTCAGAATTGGACTGCGTGGGAAACAAATATGACTTTAGATTCAATATTCAGTTTCCATGTCGGCAAATGGCAGCTTTTTAAAAAACTTAGTAGATAAGGAATGTAAGTTTCACAAATCTTAAAATAAAAAAATTGCAGAATGCTTAATTAAAGGAGAAGTTGAGTTACACATTTTCACTATGTTTCTTTTGATCAAGGAAAAGGTGTAGGTGTGTGTGTGTGTGTGTGTTTGTGTACACATTTTCTTCCAATGGGAAGTTCATACCTTGATTGTACTTAGCTCAAATGGGTAATGGAAGTATTGAACTACAGAAGACTGTAGAAATCATTTCCTCTGATCCTCTCATTTGATAGAAAAGAAAACTGAGGTCCTCATTCCCCAGAGAAAGGAAAGAGTGTATTCACTTGCATAAAATTGTTTGTGAAACAAAGAGGAGTAAATATCACATAGATTGCGTCAATCAAAATGATTTGTTCTGGGTCACCATGGTGACTTTGCATGTGCCCTGGTTTTCTTGTTCTTCTTCAATTAACTTGCTGCTTGTAAATTATGCTGTCTTATTTCATCACAAATCTCATTGTTTTTCCAGTCTCAAGAAGGACAAGTAACCACTCTGGATTAGTTGTGGTTTGTTTTTTATTTTCTTTTAAATATTTGGGTTTTATATCCTTCTGTTACTATTTTTATCTTCTCAGGCTGATGATCTAATATGTCATTATTTCTGATGAAGTAAAAATACTAGAATAAGAAACCATTTTAACCATTCAGTTAAAATTTGAATATGATTACAATTATAGTTAGTTAGTTAGCATTTGTTGATGGTTTATTATATCCTGGGCCTTGTATCAAATCTGATACACACACACACACACGTACATATACACATACACACACACACACATAGATCCTCATAGCAACTCTATAATGTATGTGTAATTGTTCTTTCCATTTTGTAGATAAGAAACTTAAGACATAGGGAGTTTTGGTAATATGGCCCCATAACCATTTTTTTTTTAATGTGAGTTCAATTAATGAAGTCTGACTGCAGAGATTGCATGTTTTTTATTGTGTTTTTTATTATTTCTACAGCATGATATTATTTTGCAGAATGGGAAACTGATGTAAAAATTAAGTGACTTCCCAAGACAACACAGCCAGGAAGTGGCAGGGGTGGGATATGAATCTGGTCTATCTTCTACATTGATACTGATAATCCTTAGCTACCAAGAACATCAAATATTGTGATAGAGCCAAGAAGAAAGCTTGCTAGATGCAAATTGGAACCTCCCAGGGAGTTTGGACTCTGAAAGCCTTTCTTCAGGTGAAGGTGTAGATCTGGCTTGGGTCCTAGATTTTGTCCATATACCACCATAGCTATTACTACAAGCTTAGAAGACAATTGAGCTCGAGACACAAATAGACCTCTGTCCAAAATAATTTTATTTCATTTTAAAGGGCAAGGGATTTGGCATTTATTCCATCTTCATTTCATGGGAAGGCCCACAGTTACCTGCATTCACAGATTCTTTAGCCCCATGCCCATATTGGATTTGCATGGCTGCCTCTGTTAAGAGCCTGAAATGTATGGGCTATTTTGACCGAGAAAAACTGCTTCTTAATTTCCCAGCCAGTTTTTCTATTTCTATTTACATAGGCCCAAGGCCTTCATGCCCAATCCCAGCTGTTCCAATCCAGGTGTGATTCTACACAACAGATGAAGCAGACACAACATTCCACATTTATCTTAACTCTATAGTTTCCAAGGAAACAGTACTGTGAGAATACTGACACTGAGTTTCAAATTCTGTATCAGTGTAGGCCTAATGTTAACCTCCTATACACAGGCACACCAAATCAATACTGGGCATTAGTAGATACACCAGTGAATAATGCCTATTTTTTTTATCATCATCTCACCATATCTAAGCTCAAGAAACCAAAATATAAATCAAATAATATGTAGCAGAGAATGTTTCTGATAAAATGATCCAGCTTATGAGTATTTTCACACAATATTATTTTCTCTTGTTGGATGTAATAATTTAGAAGACCAAATTCCCTAGAAGATCATCTCTGGGAGACCAGGAAACTAGAATAAACAAATAACAAGGAAACATTCCTCTAATGAATAAATCTCACCAATTTTTAAAATCTAGTGAATTTCTTTTACATTATATTTAGTCATTATTGGTCAATACAATATATCCTATTTTCTGTACAAAGGTATTATTGGCAATCTATTACCCTTCAAATCTCTTACTTGTAAATATTGGTCACTTATTCATTTACTTAGCAAATTATTATTAGATTCCTTTGATAGTCTAGTCACTCTGTTAGACCTCAGAGATACACTGATTAGCAAAACTAATCAGTGCCCCTGCTGCCATGGGACTTGCTCTGTTGTGGGGAGCTGTACATTAAGAAAAAACCTAGATGTATAAAATTATTAAGGTTAAAGTGCTTTGAGAGAGGTTAGATAGTGTATAAGAGCATCAAATAAAGGATGTAGATTTGTCAGGTTGGTCAAAGAAGGGTTCCTGAAGAATTGCTTCATCACCAGATGGTGGAAGGGGAAGTAGCAGACTCCAGGGAAGATACCAGGGAAAGAATTCCAGGCTTTGGAATAGAATATATAAAAGTCTTGTGGTAGAAAAGAAAATATGGTGCATTTGCTAAAAGTCTGTCATAAGAGTGTGTCATAATTTGCATATACTGCTTCTAAGATTACGATGCATTTTACTTGTAATGTTTCATTCATCCAACATTTTTTCTTAATTGAGAAAATACTGTGCCAAGCACTGCACCAACATTTAAGGTACAATGATCAACACAGACATGGTCCATTCCTTGAAAGTAATGGAATGTTTAAATGGGAAATCAAATATGATCATAGTAGCAGTTGGGACCATAGAAGTACAAAAAAATGGCATATAATCCAAAGTAAGAAAGTTAGGTAAGTCTCAAAAGAAGTGACTCTTCACTTGAGATATGAAGGCAGAGTAAGGCCCCAAACCTCTTGCCTAGGCAGATTTCATGATCAGTGTTCTTGCAGTTCACATTTTAGGCATACTTTTGATTTTATTTCTTTACTGAATATTTTTGCAAATGGTTAATTTTGTGAATTTAGTGTTGGTTTGAAAGCTTAAGGCTTTGCAAGCAATATCTTCTGAGTTTATCCTAAATATGCAGCTTATAATTGGCCTATTTATTGAAATATGCATACATGTCAATATATCTATATATGCGTATACTTATCTATATAAGATTATATATACCTATAAATATAGATAGATAGAAATAGATATGGGAACAGATACAGACATAGAGAGATAGACATATTGTCAAAGACACATTTCAATCCACACAATGCATCCTTGAAATAATTACATATAGTCATTTTATTTTGGAAATGTTGAGAGACTGCTGGTTAATGGTTGAGCCAAGACTCTTATGCTTGGTCTAGTGTTTCAAATGTCTCATCTACAAAGGAGAAAGAGCAGTCCCCTTGGGGAAAAAAAATTGTCATCAGTTGGGTCTTTCCTTTGAATTGCTTAGAAACTGAAGTTGCTAGCAGGGATGTTCGGAAGGATTTGCTGGAATCAACTTTGGTGAGATTTTCTTGGGAGAAATTTTACAGCATATTTAATCAGGCAACCAAGAAACAACAGCTGCTTGTGTATGAAGCATCAGTGAAGCTGCTAAGATTTATATAATCTTTAGTGTTCAACAGATTGCTAGCATTTATAGGACAGTCAATGTATGCCTATGCTCATATGCAGTCTTATTTGATACCTTTCTCACTGCCTCTGAGTAGAGGGGCTTCCTAAAATGAAAATGTGTTGAAGAGAAATGGATTAAGAACTAGAGGGCAGAAGACTTGGTGTGGGATTCCTGGAAATTCAGAAGAATAAATTTTACCACACAGAAGGCAATGATAGCAGTGTCTACTTGCAATGACAAGAAAGTATGTATTCCATTTAGCCTATAGACAGGTTGACATTTATCACCATAGCTCCACAATCATTCCTCTCACATTACTCCTTGTGGCAAAAGCAGCGTAAAAATCTTTACATATTCCCGTGTTCAAATGATTATTAGCCACTTCATTAAAAAGCTGATGATTATCCAAGGTCATTTGTTCTACTATTCCCTACTAGAACAGCTAATAAATCCACCCAGAGGAACTCAGAAGAAACTTCAGAAATTATTCAGGACACACTCTTCTTCACTTTAAAGAGGTACATTTTTTTGGGTATCTGGATGTATTTGCCACAGTGATTTTTATTTTAAACAATATTTTTACTCTGGTTCTTGTGCTTTCTCCATCATTCTCCTGTCCTCAACTCTAAGCCCTTCAGTCTGACATGGAGAATCTCAAGAGGATTGTTTTCCGCCACTTTTATTTTACACTGATTTTCTAATGTATGTCTCTCCTCATATAATCCACTGTCATTCCCACCTCTACAAGCTGGTTTTACGCAGTTTCCCTTTTCTTTTGTTGATTGTCCTTACCATCTCCATCAAGAACCAGGTGAAAACTTCTTCCCAAGAATTATATGTAACCCTGAATTAAAGGTGATAATCACTTTTCCCCAAGTTTATAAAATATGTAGTCTGAGTCAGCAGATAGGAGCTATAACTTCATAGTACATAATGGAGGCAGTATGATAGGGTAGAAAGACCTGGTCTTTGAAGCAGGCAAGTATGGATTTTAATATCACTTCTACTCTTTGCCTATATAGTGTACCCTGAAAAATGTATTAGTAAGGAAAGGCTCTGTTTTGTCTTAGTAAATAAACTCTCAGATCTCCATAATTTCATGTATGAAAGATTTATGTCTTACTTGTACTAGGACCAATATGGATCAGCAGCACTTGAGGGTCTGATGGTTCTTCCAAGCAATCACTCAGGGATGTTGGTTGCTTCCATTCATTGACTCTACCATATCTGTATACAGCTTTCACCTTCATTCTGAAGATAAAAGGGATAGAGATACAAGATATAACTTTCTTGTTCAGACAATGTCTAGTTTCATTTTAATATTCATTTAATTAGCCAGAACTGATTGTTAGCTCCCAGAATATCAAGGTACCTAAGAACTATATGCTAGGAAGAAGATGAGAACTGACTATGAGTGGGCACTAAAGATCTTTATTACAAGTCATACAGATTTCCCAAGATACCCCTGATAGTTTCTGTGAGCACAAAATAAGATATCATAAAGTGCAAGTGTCTGGTGCATAAATGGTAAATGATCACCATTTCCTCCAATAGAGCTTCTTACTACCCAATATAGCTTCCTCGTTGTTTCCTCTTAAACACAGGCCTGCATGAATATTATTAAGATTGCAAAACAGAACAGCATAGTTCCCTGGCAGTGCCCCTCTCATACTAAGACTTGATTGGGTCCCATCTTCTTTTCAAATTTCTATTGCTTCTTTCCAAACAATACCTATATGATTTTTGAGATGCTTAACAATTGTCCTAACACCTGCATTCAGTGCAAAGTCACTTCTTAAGATTTTGTGCAGAATTACCTATTCTCAGTTTGTTTTCTTTTTTCTTTCTTGGAAAACATAGTTATACATGGGTTATTCTTTGGAAAAGATTTTGACGACGAATACTCTAATGTTCTAAATGAGCTATCTTTTCAATACAGCTACTAGGTACATTCAACAATAAATTTGGTTCCATCTACAGGCATCTCTCTACATATTGATTTCCATTCAATTTAAAAGCATAATAATAAAGGCATTGAAGGAAATTAAAAGTATAAAGAATTTGCCAAAAATCCTTTCACTTTAATATTAAATTTTAAAAAATTACTATAAATTTTATAATTTATAATTTTATAATTTATAATTTTTCTTATTTTTCTTTCAGTCTCCATTCCTCAGAAGAAATGATCAGAAATGGTCTGTGACTGGTTCATACAGGACCTAGGCTCAAAGAAAATTAGGAACACTGTACTTCTAATATCTCCTTTCCTTTCTTGGCATCTTTACTTTCTCCATTTTTTTTATATCACACCTCCACAATCTTTTGAGAAGTCCTTCAGTTAGAGAAGGACTTGGAAATATCCAGCTCTTCTTTCCTCCTTTACTCAGTTATTTTACCTTTTTAATCATCTCTGAGCACATATGCTTCAGAAAAATGAAACACAGTGGGGAGAATCACAGCATCAAAGAGAAGTAGATTTGGGGTATTTTGCTGTTACAGTTTGACTGAACACAGCAGGCCATCGGGAGGTAGTCTTTCCTAGCCATGAAGGAGTATATGTCTCCATCTGGGCCAAAAGATAAGGGCATTTCCATAGCTCAGATAAATTGCTTTGAGACCTTCCAGGGAAGACACTATAATCCAACAAAAGAAAAAAAAAAAGACATCACAACAGAAAGTGTAATGGGAGAAGCCTTCAGCATTTCTGCTGAATCAAGAGCTCCTAAGCTCAAAACATGTTAGTGACACATTCTTCAAGTTCAGAATGGCTGAAGGGTGACCAACGGGTCAAGGCCAGAGTCTGCCATCTCTTCCCTGTATCAACAAAGGCACTGAAGTTTATTTAACATTTTCCTCTGTGGGTGGACTTTTTTCTTCAGAGACTCAAAGAACAGAAAAGTTCTAGACAAATTATTTCTAAGTATGTCTCAGAAATCATGTTGTAGGCCAGTGAGTCTACAGTGGAATTTTCTGACTCTGACCTTCAAAATCTGCTTGTCTCATGGGAGGGCTGTTCAGCCTTCTTTGTCATCCAGACTTCCTGAAGAAGCAGTGTCTTATATACATACAGAAAATAAGAATCAGGTCCTTTACATAACTCAGATTATGTAGGTCTCCAGGAAATATCACTCTAAAGACTTCTATCGCCCTAAGAGGTGTAGTCCTACTAGATTCCAGAGGTTTACATTGTCTGACAATTCCCTACCTCTCTTTCTGAACCCATTTCCCACCACCTAAGCAACTCTTCATCTACTTTGGTCAAAGTGGCTTTTTTAGCCAAATGGCCCGTTTGTCCTTGTTCCCTTGGGATTTCCCCAGAATTATCGCCAAAGCCTACTGCCCTGAGAATGCTCTCAGTCCTCAGCAAACCAAGTTGGCTGCTCACCTTGCTTGCAAGAATTGCTAGAACATACCAAGTTCTTCCTCTGATCTTAGCATTTGTTATGCCTTCTTCCTGGAATACTGTTTTCCCATATCTTTATGTGATATGTGCTTTCATTTTTTTAAACGCTGCTGAAATTTTATTCCTTTCTACCAGAATATCTTAATAATCTTTTTCCTATTACTTTTTCCCCCTAAATCTATCCTTATCCTTCTTCTTCTGTTACTATTGGAAATGCTTTGTTTTATGTTTGTTTATTGTTGGTTTTCTCCATGTGAAAACAAGTCCTATGAGGTTAGAAACTTAATCTAGTTTTCTTACCTCTGTATTCCTAGCACCTAGAAGAATGCTTTGATCTTCAAAGGTTCTCAAAATAATATAAGTTGAAAGAATTAGTGAATAAAATTTGAGAAGAAATATTTGCTATTTGATAACCAAAAAAATAATTTCTTGTGGCAATTTGCATTTTTTAAGACTTTGTGCAAATTTGGACAATTTATATAATTTGCACCAAATTGGAAACTTGAAAGAACTGAGAATACTATCTTCCACAGAAATAACTAGCATAAATTCTTCAAAATCTTAGGGCTTAAGCATTTAACCTATTTAACACGTGCAATTTTTTTTTTCATGCCAGTAGAATGAATATCCTTCTTTTAATGGTATTTCTGAGATTAAAAATGACACTGGAGAAGCCATATAAGGCACCGATTTTGTATCCAGAGTTAGTCTTCCATTCTGAGTCATAGTTTGACCAATAAGCAGAAAGAAAAAAAATGTGATTATATGTAACTCACTGGGTGGAATGGCCTGGAGGAGACAGAGGGTTAGGAAGACAAAATTATATATAGATCTCATTGTTCTAAGTGTCTTGGCAAGTTTCCTTTAATCGCAAAGCTAGCCTCTTGATAAGTTGATTTTAAAGATGTGGTAATGGTGGTGATTAATCTCTTCCTCCTTGTGGTCCCATAGCACTTGGTGTGTGCCTTTATTAGAGTTCTTACCAATCTATCTTGAATAAGAGATACTTATGAGGGTCTTCCTCATTCAACAGATCATGCATTGCAGAAAATGAACAGGCTGACTCTGACTCACTCTGGATTTTTTTTGTTTTTGTGTTGCTATAGCACTTAAAATTTGAGGTATAGGTACTCAGTAAATGTTGAAGAAATTGATGTGAACAATTGAAAACAAGAAGATAGAATAGTATCCATGTCAAAAAGAGGAACATACTTGTTATATATAATGTTCTTATTTCTCATCTCATTTAGAAAAGTTTTTAAAGATCTCTTGAGCCCAATAGGTTTGTAGATAATAGTCAAGGCAAGTAGCAAGGGAGACATGAAACACACAGTCTCAAAAGCCCTCACCTATTACACTGGGGTGTACAATCCATTTCCATTTCCCCACATTTTGACTATCTTTTGTCATGGCAATCTTTTAAGCTTTCTACTTGTTTTTCTCTGATGATCAGTGAGATAAAGTGCTTTTTAATTTTTTTCTTTTTATATGAACTGTATTACTTTATATTTTGCTTTCTTGAAGATTTGCCTTTTTTCTTTCTACCAATTTGGAGAAATTCTTTAAGTATTGGAATACTTATCCATAATTTTAATGGTGCTTTCGCTAATCTATTTTATTTCACGTTCATTTTTAATGAGGGCCAAAAGTGGTCATTTATTCCTTAACTTTCTATATTTTGTGCCTTTTTAAGGAAACTGTTCCCTACAATAAAATTTTAAAATATTTTATGCTTTTCACAATGCTTCAATAGCTAAGTTTAAGTTTTAGGGGTCTATCAGAAATTCAATTGGCTCAATGTCTGAGTTACAGAGTCTTAATTGTGTTATTTTTCTAGTAAATAGCTAATTAAGTGAATGTGATTTATTTAACAGTCTCTCTTTTTCTAATTGATTGGACATGCTATGGATCTGGTCTATTCCAATACTAATTGTACTGTTTGTTGTTTTCTTTTTATCTTTGGTTGAAGTGCATTGAATATATACATGCCTGAAATTTTTCATTTGTATTTGAAACACATTAACAAATTGTGTGAAATTACTTTTTAGAGCCAGGCACAGCAGGGCATGCCTATAATCCCAGCAACCTGGCAGGCTGAGGTAGGACAATCACAAGTACAAGGGCAGCCTGAGCAACTTAGTGAGGTCCTAAGCAACTTAGGGAGACCCTGTCTCAAAAATAAATAAATAAATAAATAAATAAATAAATAAATAAATAAATAAATAAATAAAAGGACTGAGGATGTGGTTCAGTGGTAAAGTGCCTCTGGTTCAACATACAGTATAAAAAATACTTCTTATATTTTCATTAATATCCAGTAAAATCATCAGTTACTTTGGAGAATTTTATATCTCTAATAATAATCTTGTTCATGAACTTGGTATACTACTCAATTTATTCATAAATATTTAGCTTGATATTTTTTAATGTAAGTCTTGGTCCTTTTATATTATGTATATTTTTAGGCATTTTTTCTATTTTTATTTATTGCATATAGGGTCTTTTCCTGTTGCTGAGGTTCAGAGAAAGAAACCCCAGTGTTTGATGCTTTTATGCGATGAAACAAAGGCAGCCTCCTGGTATCTTCCACCTGACCTTCCCTCTCTCCCTGTCTCTCCTTTTTTTTTTTTTTTTTTAATCTTCTCCTTTTCTCCATTTCTGAAAGCACAAGAAGCAAGAAGAGCTTCCATTGATGATCCTCCAAAGAAGATCATACTTTAGTTTGGTCTTCTTACTGCAATTTCAGTAACCATGGAAGATAAATTCATATCAGAAGAAGAGACTGAAAACCAACCCTGAACACAGAGCCCAGAGAAACTTTGTTCCAGGTTACTTTCTGTTCTCTGGTTTCA